AATCAAACCCCAGTTCATTCTTAATAGCTTCAATCCAGTCCTGGTGCAGAGCTATTGCTGCATAAGCATAACTACCACTAACAGCAATGAATGAGTTTAAGAACTTTTGACAGTGCTCCTCCACTTGAGGTAACTTCCTCTGAAAAGTAAGACCAGCCTTGAACTCATCAATAAACTTCTCTATTGAAGGATTCCCTCTGACAGCATTATTGACCAAACGAAGAGTAAATAGTTTATTGGCAAGATCAGGGACAGCTTCCATTGGTAGTGAAGTAAAACCATCATAATGAGATACAAGAACATCATTAATCACTTTCTTTACTTTATTAACATCAACAGTAGCTGATGGACCTAATAGAGGTCAAAGGTCAGTATATACACACAGTATTATCACTTACTAGCTCCTCCAGTGGATGATACTGACGTTGATTCATGTACTACATTAGAGGAGGAGGTAGTAGGATCTGATTAATATTAAATTAAAAAACCGCAACGTTAAATCATTTGTATCTATTACCTGTTGAAGGAGGAGGAGGAGGATTTCTCTGTAGTGATCTGCGGATGTATAATGAAACAGGATCAGCCACACCTTCCAGTGGTATGGAGTAATGTAGTGTAGGGACAGCATCAGGTGATCCATACACTGATATCAGACAAGATGGAGGAAGAGGATAATCTTTGCTACCAAAATTTTCAACATCACAACGATACAACTATTAAAGTATAAACTATCATTAGTTAATAAAAGTTATACTTACCCTGCATGGTTCAACGTGAGGGTCAATAGTCCAACCAGTAATATCCTTCTTTTGTGGAGTATCAAATTTTAGCTCAATGCATCCATCATTATCTTTGAAACGAAAATAAATGTGTTGTCCTGTTTTAGCATGAGAATGCTTTTTCGTGATATACTGAAAAATGCAATCATTACAAATCCATTGGCAAGCACATGTACCTTAATGAGAGCATTTAGTTTCTTAGCTGCAGTGAAGGTAACCAAATCTTCTACTCCGTCTTTTTCATAATAAAGCATTCCAGTGTATGTTATGGCCTTTCCTACACCTTTCAATTCTATAATGAAAGAATATAATATTAGTAAGCAATTATTGACACCTTGTTTTGTTTGGAATTGAAATTGTTAATTTGTCCTGGACAACTTATTTACATGTACATGTACTTACTATCAGTGGTTGAAGGCTCTGATTCATTCTTACTGTCAAATACAGTGAGAGGTGTTGCTGCTCCTTCAGTAACTGCTTCAGCTTTGTCACCTAATTCCTGATCTCCTTCCTCCTCATCCTCCTCTTGATTAGGTTCTATAAGTACATGTACATAAACATACTACACATGTACATATATACTGACCATTTGCTGCTCCATTGCTAGCTCCTGGTGGACCACCTGTCTTGTCTGATCCACTGGATGAATCTGACGAATGACTAGAAGAATCATCATTGCTCCCATTGTCATCATCTTCTGAATCTGAATCTCCATTACTTGATTCTTCTCCCAGTATGCAAACCAAACAGAACTCTTTACGTTGAATGGATCCATACCCACTATTAGACCTAAACTCTCCTCCCTTGACAATTGAGAACTGGTAAGGAAGACTGGGTGTGCTCACGGGAGCTATAG